CCCCGCGCCGAGGCTGCGTTAGAAGTGGCAGGAGCTCGCAGCAGCCTCGTAGAACGTCTGCCCGGCACATCCAGCCCCCCCGTTCGGAGGGCACGAACTATGCACCAACACCGATCCTGGCCCAGGATCACCCTGGGCCCAGGATCGGTGCATATGCCTTCCTGCGCAAGGCAGGAGGGCGTATACACCGACCCTGGGCCCAGGGTGATCCTGGCCAGGATCGGTGCTGGTGTATAGTTGGTGCCTCCCTGCCCGTTGCCCGGCTCACCGTGCCCGAAAACCCGTTCCCTCGACCCCCCCCCGAGACGGGGACCGCGGCCGCGGGGCCTCTCGCACCGCCCGCGGCCGGCCGGGCCGCCCCCGGCCTGGTGAAACACAGTGTAAATTCGATGACAGGACTGCTACTCCAGATTTCGTGATAAAAGGGAGGGGGTCTGGACACTCCAAGACAAGCCATTTCAGACCTCCCCCGTGGGAGAACCCTGCAAAACATCGTCCCCAGACCCCCCCAGGCCCTCCAAGAGAGCCTGGAAGAGACCCCCCCGAAATGAGACCCCCCTCCCTTTTTTACGAAATCTGGAGTAGGGGGTCCACTGTCGTGGCATCCACATCTCTACAGGAGGAGTATTCAAGGAGAGCTAAAACAGAGTCTGGGGACGACTTTTTCACGATTTGTCAGCATGTGTTTAAGTATTCGTTGGTCGATGTGTAATGTTTCCTCCAAACTCCGCCTGGACATGCCCGGCCCAATCCTCGGCCCGATGCGCATGTCTGCTTTGGCTGGCGAAGTGCCGAGACGGAGCCCAACAAACGTCGGGCTGCCAGCCCCAGCCCGAGCCACGCGCATCAGATGGCCCTCGGACGACCTGCTCGGCTCGAGCGCCGTGCTGCCGTGCTCGGCCTGTGGCGACTCGCGCTGCTCCACACCGGTTGCACTACAGCCGACCCGCATGGCAAGGATGGGCAACCTCCCCAGGGGCACCCCTGCATCCTTGCCTCCTCGGTCCGTCCTGGGCCCGCGTTCGTCGGCCGCGCCATGGCCTTTCACAGGTCCCTGCATCCTTCTCGCGCGCCCTTCTGCTCCGGGCCGACTGCAACCAGCATCGCCGATGTGCTGGCCCCACCCCGCGGCACCGGCGCATGCCGCAGACTGAGCCCGTCAGAGACAACGATAGGGGGGGATAGGCATAGGGGGGGAATGCATGGACCCCAAGTCCGCCGATTGATCGCCGATCGGGGCCCGATAGCTCCAGCCTGCCCAGGAAGGTGCGGATTCACGATCGGAGGCCTATCGCCGATCTGTCGGCGGTGTATCGCCGATTCCAGGCCGATTCATCCCCCCCCCTATGCTTATGATGTTCCTACTTTAGCCTTGACCACCAGAAAGACTTTCGAGCACCAGAGAAGTACCCAACAACTCTACGGCTTCACGTGCCGGGCCCTGGCAGACACTCGTTCGACACTGCTTCGACACTCTTTCGGCACTTTTCCGGGTGCTCGAAATTATTTCTGGGGTCCTTATCGGGGGCGGCAAAAGGGGGGTGATGACTAGGGGGGGGGATATCGTGGGGCCATGATAATTTCCCAGATGTTGTGGCGCCTCTTCTTATTTCATTACGTCCCTGGCCCCCACCCCTGGGCCGCGCACATGCCGCTGGCCATGATTTGCGCCCCCCCCTCTTTGACGCCCCCCTCTTTGCCGCTCCCGGCCTGAAGTACGATGGGAGCAACATAGCCCTGCGCCAGTCTCCCCCTCTCGTTGCCCCTCGTGTGCAAAGGGGCGCGCAGCGGCAACCTCTCTCTCTCTGGAGGTGCATGGCCCGAGGAGGAGGAGGGCGAGGAGGGCGAGGAGGAGGAGGAGGAGGCGGGCTGGCCTCTCGGCAGGCCTCCGCAGGAGGCCCCCCGGGGGGCGGTCTCGGGGGCCCCGGGCCGCCGCCCCCCCTCCCCCCAGACGTGCTCGCGCCCTGGAGAAATCGGGGGAAGGGCAGGAGGAGGAGGAGGAGGAGGGGGAAGAGGAGGAGGGGGAGGAGGAGGAGGAGGAGGGGGAGGAGGAGGAGGAGGAGGTGCAGGAGGAGGGGAGGAGGAGAGGAGGAGGAGGAGGAGGGGAGGAGGAGGAGGAGGAGGAGGAGGAGGAGGTTTCTGGCCATCTTATCACCACCCTCCAGGCTAACCCAACCCAACCCGAGGGCCCCAAGTTGCCCTCTGTTCCGGGTGGGTGGGTCGGGGAACATGGAACAACACGTGTGAGGCCCGTACCCCCCCAACCCGAAATTCGGGTTTTCGGGTTGGGTTGGGGTGGTCTGGTAGGTCGTCATTTGGGGCCTCTGGGGGGCCATTGTCAGGCCCCGGAACTGTCAAGAAACGACCCATGAAGAAAAGCGGGTTTTGGGGAAAGGGTCGGGCCTTTCGAGGACACCGTTTTTCAGGCGATCGCAAGCATGGATCAAGGGGGCGTGGATTAGTGACGGGTCCCGTTTCCACGGGAAATCGCGGAGTTCCG